ACCAAATATACATGTGTTGAGAAGTGCGTGGGTGGGTGAACCATGGTGGTGGTGGTTGGAAGAGTAAACATTTTATTCATTCATACCCAAAGTGACATTTACCTTTTGCTATTTAGCACATTTACCTCAATATGAAGCCTCACTGTATTGCTGTTACATACATTATTAAACAAAATATAAGTAGTTAATGGGCCTTGTGGCACAAATGAGACCTGTTATTTGTTTATCGTCTACAGCCTATGACAGGTTTCACACTTAACCAGCATCTGTCTTAATTGTCGCAAAGCAAAAAATACCTGCTTGCTAGTTTTCTAATAACACAACATGAATACTTGGAGTCCAGCCCAACGTCCATTATGTGTGGTGAGTGTGAGCTTTAATAGAGGTCTGGTGACTGTAGTGGAAGAGGGCCACTGCAAATAGTCCTGCAACAACAAGCAATATTGGTGAGATAGAGCACTGGAAAACATAGAGACATCTAAGTTGGCAAAGTTATATTGAAGCGAAAGCTGGTTGACAGCCTCCTCTCTAGTGTTAGTTTAATTTATCAAGCTTGAGCCACAGTTAGCTCTGCTCTTCATGACTGGGCAAATATTATATTTTCATTATCACTATCAGAGTTCATACTTTATACTTATACTCAGTTATTAAATCAATTAAATATAGAGAAGGCACCAATTTCAAAACATCAATACTCAACAGCAGTATTGGCTACATTGATTACTACTGTTCAGTGTTTCAGCATGTGACATCATTCATTCAAGTGGAGTATTCTGGGAAAGTGCAACGGCATTTTAAAAGACCAGTGTCTAGTGTTCAGTGGCATCTAGCGCTGAAGTTTCAGATTGCAACCATGTGAATACAGCTCACCTACTGGCTGTGAAACCCGCAAAAAACGTGTCAGGCCCTATCTAGAGCCAGTGTTTGGTTTGTCCGCTCTGAACTACTGAAAAAACATGGCGGACCCACTCCCTCTGTAGATAAAACTGGCTCACTCTAAGCCGGCAATAAAAACCTGATCCCTAGTTTATACACTAATGAAAACATACCTATGAATAGGACCTTTAAGTTAGCAGATCAGTCAGTGTTGTCAGAATGATATGTGGTGCATCGAGTGTGTGGAGTTTAATAGTATTACCATAATGCAACATGTGTTAACAATCATTATTGATGTATATTACTAAAAGATGTATGAGTATAATATTTATTATCAATATTATCTACATGGTACCTATTCATTAACTGTTGTGATCTACAGAATATCTTTAGCCTTAGATAATGCTGTATTCTAAGGCTTTTATACAAAACTTGTTAAATTATATCAATTATTATTCACAGGAAAAAGAAAGAAGGACCAAATACAAAAGATATCAATCTGCTGCTTTTGTTACAGTTGGCATAGCGACAAGTACCACTATGTTTACGATTTGAGAATGAAGAGCTCAACTGGAATTGAGTTTGAGCAATTATATGACTTGAATGTACATTTTGGATAAATCAGAGTAATGTTGTAAACACTTTTAACCAGTAAGCCAATTGAGTCCAAAATGAAAAAAGTGTCAGACTATATTATACTTTGAAAATACAAGTATATGACCTCTGTTTTTGCTGTTGTAACTTCTGTGTAGAACATGCGGTGAGACATTTGTGAACCCTAATGAGACAAACTTTTTCACCTGCTTTCACTCATTATACAGAAATAAATGTGATATCTCTGGATAGCTACAATTCGTTTTCTAATAATATTTAAAATTCTCACAAAATCTAGGCACGTCATAGCCTATTATATTCATGTTAATGGGGCACGATACAGTCAGTCTAGTCTTTGCACACTGAGAGGTCGGTGTATTTTCATCCAGTAGATCTATACCTCCTATAACAATGTAACAAAAAACAACTTTAAGGAAATCTCTCTTTATTCACATATGCCACATAATGTTCTTCACTGTGACTTGGTCGTACAGTATAAACAAGGGTCACCGCTGACTCTTAAGCACTCTGGCCTGTGTACTCACTTGCAAAGCTTGTGTTCTTCTTCCCGTTAGTCACATTTTACAAGCAACATTCCTCCCTCCTCAACAATTGGACTGCATCAGTTCCTGCTATCTCCCCGTTCGAAGAAGGTGGCGAGCGAGCTGAGAAGGGGCCAGCCTGAGCAGGGGCATTTGGATGGGGGAAGGGCATGTCTGCTGGCAATGAGGGTGAGTAGATCAGTGCTGCTCAGTGTCTGTGAGGCGGTGATAAGATTCCAGGATTTTCCCAGTGTGACAGGCCTGCTCACCAAGCCGTATACCCCGCTGCATGAAGACAACCACCACAACGTGACCCCCCTCAGCCCCCCTACCCCTGGGCTGTTACACCTCAGCAGGCAGGAGCCACAGTCACCTGCAGCCACACCCAAAACCTCCTCAGTCAAGCTGAAAATCTTAATCTGAGAAATGTTTCTGTGTCAGGTGTAAATGTGAAATAAAAGTACATGAATGAATTTCTACTTTACAGTCGTGTGCTTCCACACTATACACTAGTCGTGCTGTCTCTTTCTTTCTCTCTGGCTCACTTCTCTTTCTTTATCTCTACCTCCTCAGTCCCCCCTCCCCACTCCCTCTCCCTTGGATGGCAGGTCAGGCAGTGAGCTGTGCGGGCTCAGAGGAGGTAAGGACGCCGCGGTGCACATTAATAATGAAAGGCCTCAGCCCCCCCCCCCGACACACACA